TGGTGTCCGTTATTTGTTTTCGATACTGCTTAGGCATTGCACTTTATCGAAAAGTTCAACATCTAATATTTAGTGGTGAAAATAAAAAGTGAAATACTACAAAATTAGCAGAGATACGCCCATAGTTACTGTTGAACTTGAATAGGAAGTCATATTCTTGTAATCTAACTGTGACCTTGAAATTGACCTTTGACCTACTTTTCATGATGAACTGCACTTTGCAAGTTTTCTGATTTTTATATCTCCAAAACTGGCAAAGATATGCCGATAGTTACTGTTGAACTTGAATAGGAAGTCATATACTGGCAATCTAACTGTGATCCTGAAATTGACCTCTGACCTACTTTTCACCATGAACTGAACTTTGCAAATTTTCCAGCCCTAATATCTCTTAAACTGGCAAAGATATGCCCATAGCTACTGTTGAACTTGAGTAGGAAGTCATGTACTGGCAATCTTACTGTGACCTTTAAATTGACCACTGACCTACTTTTCTCCATGAACTGAACTTTGCATGTTTTCTGGCCTTTATATCTCCAAAATTGGCAAAGAAATGCCCATAGTTACTTTTTAACTTGAATAGGAAGTCATAAACTGTGACCTTGAAATTGACCTTTGACCTACTGTTCACCTTGAACTGAACTTTGCATATTTTCTTGCCCCTCATATCTTCAAAACTAGCACAGATATGCCCAGTGTCTCCTCTTTTGTCAGCATATATGCAACACTGATAACACATTTCAAGGAAAACCAATAGGCCTATTGTCTAGAAAATCACAGGAGTGATCATTGTTAGGAAAATACAGGTCAATTGGAAAAACCGCTTGATTGGACCATTTTTACAGTTTTTTTTTTTGCATATTTTGAGAACTCTTGTTTATTGCATTTCTTAGATCCTGTCAAGCACAAGACTGGTGGTGGTGGTGTCTTTTTTTTTTGGCTTTCCATCTGAATGTGCTTACTCCAGCTGGTGGTACAATATCCAGAGGCGGTATCGCCTCTCTGATCCTCTAGTTTCTTATATTGTTAGCATTTTACAAATTTGTATTTTTTTAACACAGGGCACATGTCAGATCCTGATAACCTTCCTGGTTTGGCTCATTTCTGTGAGCATATGCTGTTCCTTGGGACTGAGAAGGTAAAGTATTTAGATAATCTAATATCAAAAATAGAAAAATGAGTGAAGTGAAAACTTGCAGTCAGCATTATGGAATCTTAGTTACACTGGTTTTGATATGAAAATTTAAGTTTTATCTGTTGTTAAGATGTCACATTTATTTTAAATGTCTTATATCTGTTTCAGTATCCTTCCGAGAATGAATATAACAAGGTAGTGTATTTAATTTATATTTTTCAAGCTGAGCATCTCAGTATTTTGCTTCCCAGACTTAAACACTTTGCTATCATTAAATAAAAGGGTACCTCTTTATTCTACATGATGAAAGATTTTTATTGCCCAAAACATGGATAATATAGCTACACTATTGACTTATCCTTTATGTTTTCTAGTTCTTGAGTGAGCATGGTGGTAGTTCCAATGCTTTCACCAGCGCAGAACACACCAACTACTTCTTTGATGTTGCACCAGAACACCTGAAGGGAGCTATGGACAGGTGAGACTGCCCCTATATTTTGTGGCTATGCAGCAGTGGGGCTCTCATTCTCTCAACAATTGTTGTAGTCAAAAACGAAGTGATTTATTTATTTCAGTCTGAAGTCAGTTGAAAAGTGTAAATAATTTTGTCCAACAAGCACACCTGAAATATCTTCATGGAGGCTTGTTATCATGATAATTATCACAATAACTAGTGATTGAGATTATTTGTAACAAAAGTGAGAATGTATTATTCTTGATAGTTCTCAGTGTTGAAATATAATATAGTAACTTTGTTTTAGGTTTGCCCAGTTTTTTCTTTGCCCCCTGTTTACAGCCAGTGCTACAGAAAGAGAAGTGAATGCAGTGAATTCAGAGAATGATAAAAACATTCCCAATGATGCATGGCGGTTCAATCAGTTGGAAAAGGCCACTGCCAATCCTAAACATCCTTTTAGCAAATTTGGAACAGGTAAGGAGATGATTTTGTATGCTGATATACAAACTTGTATGATCTGCTAAAGTATATTGATATTGAATATTTTGCTGATTTTTTTGCGGTTTGAAAATTAGTCTGTTTAATGTTAAACTTTGATATTCAAATAAATTCTGTTCAATTTTTTTCACAACAACAAAGGCAACAAATATACACTGGAAACAAGACCAAAGGAACTTGGAATTAATACCAGGGACGAGTTGTTGAAGTTCCATTCAAAATTTTACTCTGCCAACATCATGGGTTTGTCTGTTTTAGGAAAAGGTTGGTAGTGCATTCATTGTGATTAATGTAGTCACGTTTTTAGTAAGTTGTTGTTAAAGATATTTTTAAGGAAGAAAGTCCATAGTCCATTGTTTGATCAGTGACATTGGTTTAATCAGTTATTAGATACACAACTTCTATTCCTTGTAAATCTTACTTACAGAGTCCTTAGATGAGCTTCAAGAAATGGTATTGGACCTCTTTAGTAATGTGGAGAATAAAGAAGTGGCTATCCCTGAGTGGCCTGAATCTCCCTATGGTCCAGAACAGTTGCAGGTATTATCTATTTTTTGAAATAGTTATGCCATTACATTAGATGAGTTAGTTTTACTGTGGATTTTACATACCAGTATGTAGTGTTCAAACTATGCCTGATTGTAATATTGATATTATGATTTGAATGGTAGGCCATGTTCCACCTTGTTAAGCTCCATAGTTCATTACAAAACATGATATAAGGACTTGCTGTTTAGATTACATTAATACTATAACAATGGGACTTTGAACTTGGAATTAATGATTTATAATGTGAAATATTAAGTTAACTGTTTTAATGTACATTTCTATTCTAGGTGAAGGCATTTGTTGTACCAGTAAAAGATATAAGGAATTTGAGTATTCTTTGGCCTATTCCTGATTTACAGGAGCATTACAAATCCAATGTAAGTATAAAGACACAACAGTACCCTTACTGCAAAAGGTAGAAGTAGGTTGATGTAGAAAGATGAAAAAAAATATATAGAACAAATTGTGTGGTCTGTGTGGATCTTGTAACAAAATTGATAGTTTTATATTAATGGTCATTTGAATATAGTTATATTAGGTTATTCAAAGTTTATTTTGAACAAGTCCAGGGTAGACAGCATATGAACTCCTTTGAATTCAGTGTTATTAAAGCCTTATTTTATGTTGTTTAGCCTGGACACTACCTAGGCCATCTGATAGGTCATGAAGGACCAGGGAGTCTCTTGTCAGAGTTGAAGGCAAAGGGTATGTCTTATAAATGAATTCAGTCAAAATGAAAGACATGTTGATCATTAGGTTAATTAATAAAATATATTGTAATTATTCCCCCTTTGACAGTCAAAAGATTCAACTGTAAAGTTGTAATTATTTGAAATGAATAACATTTTTTTCTGTTTACACTTGATGAAATGCATTTATTAATGTATCTAGAATTTGATGAAGAATGTTAATTATTTGCCAATGGGTTATGTTCTCAGGATGGGTTAATACATTGGTTGGAGGGCAGTCAGGAGGGGCCAAAGGGTTCATGTTTTTCCATGTCAGTGTCGACCTCACTGAAGAAGGAATAGGTAATATAAAATGTATTTTTATCTTGTTCTTTATATTTAATTTCTTGTCCACATGGAGCAGTCCTACTTATACTTTTTTTAAGAAAAATAATGACACTGTGAATCGAAATAGGGATATTTTGCGTCTTTATATTTGTAAGTGCTGTTTGAAGAAATGGTTTTGTGCATGTAAATTGGACTAAAAGAATATCTTTCTTCTAACTTTCCTTTTACAGAACATGTAGATGACATCATTACTTTAGTATTTCAATACATAAAGATGCTGAAGAGAGAGGGACCTCAGGAATGGATCTTCAAAGAGCTTCAGGTAAAACCGTTGTTTTTTTATTGATTCATTTATTATTTTATTTTTTGTTTCATACTTTATGTATTCTCAATATTAAGATATCTAGGGTATTAATTTTGGTTGGGTGGGTTGGGATGGTATAGGGGTTTCAGGCTTGGTCTTTTTGCATAACCAGCATCTTTTATATGTATATATGTATATATGTGTATGCATGTATCCTGTTATGTCTTTGTACCTGGTAATATTACATTTGTTATTTGATCATGGTGAGAACATTTGGTTTTTTGAACATGGTGAGATAATAAACTTAGTTTGGATCTTTCTCAATTTCTATACAGTATGAAATTGTAAATGAATTTCCTGGGCCACTAAAATCCTTGATAATTGTCAGTTTTATGTGTGCCTGCTTTTACAGGCTGTAGAAATGATGTACTGGTACTGTTAATATATAAAATGTACATCAAATTCTATTGCAGTTCTTTAACTTTTCATGTTATATTAATTTTTTAGGAGTAATAATTCTGTTCTAGGTAGCAGTAAAATGAGGAAGACTAGGTACTAGTTAACAAAAGTCAGCAAGCATCCAGCTTCTTTTCTATTTGTTAATTTCAGGATTTGAGTCATATGCAGTTTAGGTTTAAAGACAAAGAGAGGCCTCAGGGATATGCTTGCCAAGTAGCCTCAGTGCTTCATGTAAGTATTTATTCATGTTTTTCGTCGGCACATTATATACTCAATGTGTCTTCTGTGTTTACAGGAGCTTAAAAAGATAAGGTTCAGATTTCAAGATAAAAGCCCGCCAAGAGCATATGCCTGTCGTCTAGCTAAAATACTACATGTAAGTATTTGTGTTGGCCATTCCTGCATTTTGAATGTTAAACCTTTTTATTATTAGGGCATTGTACATATAATTGTATTCCTTTCATTTGGCTTTTCCCACAATCATAAACTGTTTGTGGCCTTTTATGTTTCAAACAATATATGATTCACTTTATATCTTATTTATGTGTAACAGCTATCTGCCCAGCTTTGCATAAGCTTCTTGTGTGCATTGTCTGCATGAGGTGGAGTATTATAGTTTGTATGTTTCATCTACTTATCCAAACTGTTATTTTTCTTAATCTTTATTTTTTTTTAGGAATATCCCCTTGAAGAAGCCTTGAGTCATGGCTATCATTTGACAGATTACCGACCAGACTTGATCAGCTTGGTGCTGGATATGCTTACACCAGAAAAGATTCGGTAGGAAAGATTACTTAAGAAGTGTTTTCTAAGTGAAAATTGTTGGATAAAACTCTGTATACCTATTATCAGATTGCCACAATCACAAACATACAAAAATTTAGATAAGATGATAATACTAATTGACTACCAACTTTTATTGTTATTTTTAAAATGTGATTATAATTACCATGTATCATAACAAAATTTAGAATCTGCATTTATCATACTAGTGTTTTAGTGTTTGCCTCCAGTTACCATCTGTGCTAGTCTTTTTTTATTTATAGAGCTAATGTCTTGAAACATTGAGATAAACTGTGTACTAAAGATGATAATCCTAATTTTTAAGACAGTTAGTAAATCCTGTTGTTTTTTTAGGGTTGGTGTTGTTGGTAAACAATTTGAGGGTATTGCAGAGCAGAAAGAGAAGTGGTATGGCACTGCCTATTGTGTTGAGAAGATACCAGGAGAGCTGATACAGGTAGCGTTTGTCCATGGGTTTCCATATGATTATTACTGTTTTTTTTTTTTTTTTTTGACAGTCAGGCATCCTAAGTCTAGCTATAAAGACTGCCTGTGCATAAAAACATTATTGCCTGCAGGTCATTGAGCACACTAGAGTCTAATTATAAGTATGTGTTATCTGAAAGCAGAAATACAGGCCAGTAACTGCTGAACAAATTTACACAATTTTATTGGCATGGGGCCAGTTTTAAGATCCCAAAAGGACATTGTAGTTAAGAATCTTCATGATAAGCATATGCCTGATACATATTAATAGCCTGTTAGACAGTCTTGTTATACCATGTAAAATTGCATATGAACCCTCTTTTTCAGATGTGGGAAAATGTAGATTATCACGAGAACTTGAAGCTGCCGCAAAAGAATCAGTTCATTGCCACAGATTTTAATATTGTTCCAAGAGAAAAAGAAGTAAGTTTACTTTGTAAATTTTGAAGCTGATTTGACTAAATAATGTAGGATTTATATTAAGGCAAAGATTAAGTAGAAATTTTCTAATGTGTTTTAATATAGATTAAAATATATACATAAAAAGTCCACATTTTATACACCTCGAGATACAATACCTGGAAGCAGGCAATCAGATTTGCACATCTCATCATTAGAAAAATGTCTATATGATTTGATCTTTTTAAAAAAATGTATTCCCAGTCACAAATTAAAGTAATAATTCGTGAGTTTTCCTTTGTCTAAGGCAACTTCTAGCCCACAGGTAATTGTGGAGACTCCTCTTAGCCGGTTGTGGTTCAAGCAAGATGACACTTTTCTGCTACCAAAGGCATATTATGCCTTTGAACTTAACAGGTAAGTTAAGTCCTGTTAATCATGGTTTGAAGATTTTTTCCATTTGAAGTTAACATCCAAATTACTGATTTCAGAAGTTCCATAGAATCAAGCCATGACATAGAATGTTGATTTTTACTTTCATCATGATTATTAAAATATTGAGAGGGATTGGTGAGGCAGTGCTTTATATATTTTTTATAATGAAATAAGTAATAACTGCCGATGCTATAGCAGAGTATCCACTACTTAGAATGCATGGAAAAATTACATTGCAAAGTATTCATTATTTATCTCCACCTTTGTTTTAGTCCCTTGGCATACATGGATCCACTACACACCAACTTAAATGCAATGTTCTGTGACCTATTTAGAGATGCATTGAATGAGTACGCCTATGATGCTGAGCTAGCAGGCCTTGGGTATTCTCTCTTGGGAACTGTGTATGGAATATATGTAAGTCATTTATAATACAACTTGTATACTTTATGCAGGTATCAATCTGAATAGGTTAATTGAGAAATGCACAGGTCTTTTAAGACTTGAAAGTGTTCTAAATGTTATAAAAGCTAGCCATATGAAGTAGTCTGTGCAAATGCAGATTGAGATAGCAATGTGCAAGGAAAGATATACCTCTTTGGTAAAGCTTAATTGTTGAGTAAAAGACAAATTTTCTCCTCATTTTAGCTCGGTATCCGTGGATATAGTGATAAACAACCAATACTGCTGAAGAAGGTGATGGAAAAAATGACCACATTTAAGCCAGATCCAAAGAGATTTGAAATCTTCAAAGAAGCTGTAAGTATCCCCATAAGTGAACAGAATCACTTATTCAGGTGTTCAAAATATTTGAAAAAATGGTTTAATCTCTTTGATATAGATATTGGATCTGACAATGAAAAATCCATGATACAAATGAGGATGGAATCAAATGGAGGACTGAAATTTTATCAAATCAAATCAATGTGATTTTGACTCATGACCAATTAATTCTAAGCAAAAATGACTTTTGAAAAGCTATTCTTGATTTTCTATCAGTCTTGCCTTTCATTGAATTAATGTATCAAGATGAAATCACAAATGACACAGTTTTCTTTTCTATATGTTTGTATAGTATAAAAGAAGTCTAGAAAATTTCCGAGCAGAGCAACCTCATCAACATGCAGTGTATTACACAAATCTGGTTACTAGTGAACAGATGTGGACAAAGGAGGAACTATTAGATGCTCTCGAAGGTGAGTGATTTAAAAAGGCTATATCAAGAAAACATAACTCTTAACTGAATACGCTCTAAAAGGTTAATCTGGGATTTGTTTCCAACAATTTTGATTGTCAAACAACTTCTCATTGCTTATTTAAAATTTCAGATATAACTGTGGAGAGACTGACGGCTATGATACCACAGTTCCTTTCAAGACTAAATATTGAAGGTCTTGTGTATGGAAATGTCACGAGACAGGTAAAAGACAATATACAAATTTCGCTGGTGACTTTCAATAGCACAGAATTGTTGAATGCAAGTTTATTTTTAAATTGAAATTTTTTAAAGATAACTGTATATAAAGGCACTAAAGTACTACTAATTAATGTTTTTAAGAGAGCTGAAGAGGTCCTAGATATCATCCAGAACATGCTGAAGGAAAACTGTGATACGAAACCACTAGCACCAAGTCAAAAGAAACGTTGGAGAGAGGTGCAGCTCCCTGATGGTAACTAATGGTTTCTAAGACAAATGTAGCTATTCAAAACTGGGGTAGAATTCTGGATGTGAGAATAATAAATCTCTTTAAAACTTTGATCTCCTCTTCCATGGTGATTTCATGAATGACTCACTTTAAGTTCTACTGTCAGTGTTACAGAATTATCACAGTTATTTTGAGTTAGCAATGTTTAATACATATGTAATACATTATCCTTATATGCAGGTTGTTCCTATTTATACAAGTCCACCAATGACGTACACAAGAGTTCTTCCATAGAGGTTTATTACCAGTGTAACCTACAGGAAACTCACAGTAATGTTCTGTTGGAATTATTCTGTCAGATCATCAGTGAACCCTGTTTTAATATACTTCGAACACAAGAACAGCTAGGTATGATTAGTTTATCTCAAAATTGGCTAAATAGGCAAAGCTAGTGATGTTAAATGCAGGACGAAACACTGAAATTAACCAAGAAATCAATTTGATCCATAATATGTGTACAAAGTATGTACATTCCTCAATTACCGAGTCATAGACCAGGTGTCCAATGCTGCTGGCAAGCATATTTGGGGCCATTTGTTGAACTTTGCCAAAGAAATGTTGGTTAAATATAGTAGCTAGTTTTTGCACAGGGCTGCAAATACATCACTCTTACATACAGTAAATAATTCTTATCGTTCTTATCATCAGGAAAGAAACGGGTTCAAAGAAGTGGGGGGTGACACACATATGTTGTAAGACTAGTGCTCAATTTATGAGTAGGATATATTAATATGTTACAGGTTACATTGTGTTTAGTGGTATACGTAGAAATAGCGGTGTACAAGGACTGAGAATCATAGTGCAGTCAGACAGGAGTCCAGAGTATGTGGAGAGCAGAACGGAGGCATTTCTAAAGAAAATGGAGGCAAGAAGGCATTTCTTTTCACTGTGAATCTTCCCAGTATATGGGAATGTCTAAATGTTCAATGCATTATTTATTTATGCGTGGCATCTATTGCCCTAGTGCATTTGTGTTTGATATTGTTTACTGTTTTTTAAATATGAGGTGAAAAAAAGGAGAAAAATAGATTAGGCAGTTTTGATTATTGAAGTATAAAGGGATTGTTGTCAAACTTCATTTCACTTAAACCATATTGAATTTTTCAGTCCTACATACTGGAAATGACTGATGATATATTTAAAAAACATGTAGAGGCACTTGCAAAAAAACGTTTGGAAAAGCCAAAGAAAATGTCAGCACAGAATGGAAAATTATGGTCTGAAATCAACTGCAAGCAATATAACTTTGACAGAGGTTTGTTAGAAAATGTTGATTCCATTCTCTCAGTCATTGTCCTTGAAGTTTTATATTAGAATAAGACATGAGACATGAAGTAATATTTGCAAATACCTATTCTGTCTTCTTCATGAGATGGTCAGTAAGAAATAAAAAGGATTTTTCTTTTGGGAGTTGAAGCAATACACAATTAGAAATGTTGCTTGAATAATGGTTCATGTTGTTTATTGCATACAGGATCCACCTCTTTTTGCAGTTCTTTCATTATGCTGTGTATCTCTTACAATAATTTCTAGATGAAATTGAAGCAGCCCACCTAAGAACTCTCACCAAGGATGATGTTATGCAATTCTATAAGGTAAAAAATTATTTGTGACTTTGTTCAGTATTGGTTGTATTGTTATGATAGTAAAACTTTAAGTTCTTGAGGCTACCCCCCCCCCCCAAAAAAAAAAAAAAAAGTTGATTTAAAATTGATAATTGATAATTTCTTTGGGGGGGAGGGGGGAGTTGAGCCCCAAGAAGTTAGATTAGCAATTGAATAAGTTTAAGCACTCACTCACTCTCAAGGGAGTTACAGTGCATCACCACCACTTAAATGTGTTCACGATGTTGTTCTGTTATTCAAATAGGAATTGATATCACCAGAGGCTCCAAAACGGCACAAGGTATCAGTACATGTGGTATCCACTGCTAAAAAGACAGGCAGTGGAGACGAGGTATCTGATGAAGTGGTGAAAGAAATAGCATCACTGAACATGGCAACTCCGGAAAATGCAAAAGAAGATTCTAACACAACTGATGAAATCAAAGTAGCTGAGGTAAGTCATTTCTTTCTTATCAAAATATCTACTTTTGATTTATCCATTTTTAAGGAGAGAAAATGCTTAAAATTGACAAGTCAAAGTATATTTATTAAATACATGAGTTTCTTGCAGAGTGTGAAACATTCATAAAAAAAATAAGAGATTTTGATCATATATTTGGTTAATTGAGAAAAAAGTAGGTTGCATTACTTGTTTTTTAGCAAGTTTTTCTTGAACAGAATTCATTGCCATTGTGGGCCTCCATTTTCATTCTTGAATTTTGATGTTTATTTGCAACTGATTCTGTGTCAGTGTTGTAAAACATTATATAATCAAATCACACAATACTAATGAATTGAAAAACTTGAGTCTCTGTTCTATTTTTTCAGCCCATCCTTATTTGTGATGTTTGCGACTTCAAGCAGGAGCTCCCATTGTTTCCATTAGTGAAGCCATTCATTAACCCTAGCAGCACCAAGTCAAAATTGTGAAAATATTCAAAACTGTAT